GACTGATTAAGGTCAAACGATAGCAAACTACCTTTAAATAATGATTCCTTCATGAGAGGTCAGAGCATCTTGTGAAAAAGAGAGCAGTTTTTTGATGAACACGTAACCATATATATGAATTAATAGTTGTCATCCAAACTCTAAAAATTGGATTGCCAGTGATGAACAATTGTTAAGCTAAGAAAACACACTGATTAATGTAACGACAAAGAAATTTGTTGAATCATATATACATGCAGAGACTAACACACAATTATATGGCTTTCATGAAAGAGAAAGAAAACATTATAATGCTTCATATAAGAGTTCTTTCATAACTTTTCATTACTCACCGATTTGATTGGTGAAACTTGTCAGTTTGGTCAGTGGATATAGGCAAAATATGGAACCAACCCCTTCGTTGTCTTCTAGATATCACTGTATTTGTGCTTGATCAATTTGTCTGTTTTGGGGATTTCCTATGTAAAAGATTGCTATTTGATTACATATATCTACTTCTAATATATATAATGCAAATATCATTCTTAAGGAATTGCACTCATATTAATTTAATCACAAGTTCAATATCATCTCATGGATTTATATCCTACTAGGATTAATTATGCACGTGCAATGCACGTGATTAAATATTATGATTAAGTATTTTTGACTTATTTCTTTACTAAAATTTGTTTCTCATTTCCACTTTGATTGTTTTTCTCACTTATGTTTTCAAACTTTACTATTGTGATTATTTTTTTTAATGTTTGTTTGAATGGGCTACACCAAATTTAAAATTTTCATGTAATAATTGAATTGACAAGAAATAACTATAATCTAAAGCTAATTTGAATTTTCATGTTATTTAGATCGGTATGAAACCAAGCTTGACTTAAGAAGATATAATGTTGTAAAAGTAAAAAACACTTGAAAAGATAATGTTATAAAAGAAGGATGAATAATTAAAGCCAATAAGACAAGATGATTAATTAAAAATGGGTTAGAATGAAACTAAAGAAAATATAAATTTTGTTGCTAATCACTGATAGACTTTAGAAAAAAATCATAAAATAAAGAGTTGCTAATCACTGATAGACTTTAGAAAAAAATCATAAAATAAAGATTAATGCTAACTCTATTACACTTTTATATGATAAAAGATTAATGCTAACTCTATTACACTTTTATATGATAAAAGCATCCACATAACCATATAAAAAAATTAAAAGAGTTCATGAAAATCACTTCTAAAGATTCCTTATAACTACAAGAAATTACGTCTTTAACGAAGGGATTTCCCTTCGTTAAAGAGCTGAAAACCTTCGTTATTGTTTGTTAACGATGGGCAAAAATCCCTTCGTCACCCGTCGTTGAAGCCCTCTTCGCTAAAGGGTCACGAAGGGATATACTACCCGTCGTTATAGAGTTTATAACGACGGAACATATTACCGTCGTTAATATTTACGACGGTAATTATCACCGTCGTTACTATCAGTGACGGGGATATTTTTCCGTCGTTACCATCAGTGACGGGATATTTTTTCGTCGTTACCATTAGTTACGGGGATATTTTCCCGTCGTTACTATAAAATGACGGTTTGTCATTCCTGTCGTTGTTGTGTAATGATGGTTTCATACTCCTGTTGTTATTATGTAACAACGGGTGAGATCCCCGTCGTTGAATACCTACTAATGACGGTTGGATACCATCATAGAAGTCCTCATGGTGGGTAATTAGTAACTCATCAATGATGGTGTTTTCCCTTTGTTGATGTACTAAATAAGGTTTATAAAACCGTAATTGTATACTACAAATTTCTAATAGACATTAATGATAAAATTTTCATTCATAGGCAACTATCATAGAAAACCCTCATATTATTCTCAACATGACACTGAGATTCACAACACAAATATATTAAAAATACCCAATAATTAATAAAAGGGAAAACAAAAACTCAATTCATTAATAACACAAATAAATAAAATTCCACCATATTCAAATATTCAACACTAATAACAAGAGTTAATATCCCAATTGTTCCTAAGAAAAATATGTGAAACTATTTAAAGCAAATTAAAATAAAAGTCTGGGAAAGACACATCATTTCATCTCTAAACATTGTCAAAAAGAAGATTCGATCTACCCCCTCTCCTAATCTTGGATAACCTGAAAAATCAAAAAAATCACATAATTAAGAAATATCAATTAAGCAAATATTATCTTATTAAGTAAAAAGCGTATTTTCTCTAGTGCAAGTAGTCAATCATAAAAGTATATAAGAGATTTTACAAAAATAATTACCTAGTCCCGCACATGTTCTCGAGTTTGAGGAGTCAATGAAGTATTAGATTGTTGCCTAAAAAAATCCGTGCATAGCTGTAACTTGTGACTCTAAGTTAGACATCATTTGTTGTTGATGTTGTTGTTGCTCCTGCTCATCTAAGCGTTGTTGAAGCATCTGGTTCTTTCTCTTTTCTTCTATAACCCATGCTCCAGAACAAAAGTATAAAACCCAGTGTAACTTAGGCAATTGCTATTTGATCTACAAAAACAAATAGAGTTTTAGGAACACAGAAACTGATAAAAATTAAAATTGTAAATAAAATATGGTATAAAATATTCACATGGTAACTAAGAGGGAAGCTACAAAAAACTTTGAGTATAAACATGCTAGTACCTAATGACCTGCAAATATTGTGGCAGGAAACATACAAATCGACCTTTGGGAAATATGTCTATAATCGGTGACATAAACTGTTTAATTTAAATCTACCATAAAGTTACTGGTGCCACACATTTTATGACCAAGAGCACAAATCCTGACGAATGAAGCTGAACCTTTAGAAACCATCTAGTTATATAGTTCTAAAAAGAATGGAAACAACATTCTGTTAGGAACCTGAAAGTTATTCAGCAACTCTTTCCTATTCAAGGCTCTTATGAATATATACATAGTAGCTGACATTGGGGGGAAAATGTCCGTATCAACAAACTAATCCCAAAACTTAAATTCAAGCATTAAAGATCTTCAGAAATGGCCAAGCTGAGACTAATTCAGCCTTGTATATGTGACCTTTAGCATTTTGAAGTGGTCTCATAACCTTTTCTTCCCCATTCATACATTTTCGGATAATTATACTTTATTTAGAAGCTATTCAATACTTACCTGGCAAATTCTTTGGGTTTTCTATAAGATGAGCTAATGTATTAGCAACCATCCTTGAAAATGCTTTAGCGCTGTAATATGCCGTTAGATGCTGATGAAAAGCATCTGAACATGCATTTTCCATCTGGTTACATATTGCATGACTAATGACTTAGATTTCCAGCATGCTGGAAGCCCACTTACCTGATATATTTGATATATTCCCCATGTTATGAACTTGTCTATTTCAGCAGTCTGTACTCTTTTTTATTCACATTCTTAGGAAAATAAACTACATCATTCTTTCTTAATTTGGGATTTATAAGAAATTATAAACTTTGTAGTCCATAATATGAATCATATTGTACAACATGGAGCCTTGTAGAATCTTTGAAATGGAATTCTTTTTTCTTGGCATTGTTACTTGTTTATGTTTGTGCAAATTAACATTGAGGAGCATTGAATGAATCTTGATAACTTTTGATCATTGGCCATTTGAGCATAACTTATAGAGATCGAGATATAATGGCAATAAAAATAAAAAAGTTATTCAAGAAAAATTTAGAGTTTATTGGAGACCGTTATCATCACTATATTGCAACATGAGTGTGGTGCTCGGTATTTATCTTGAGTTCCAAATATTTCTCGCTCTTTTCTTGCAAGAAAATCTCCATTCTAAAAAAAATATTAGTTTGGTCTGAGAAATTTACTCTTTATGAGTTTTGTTCAATATAAGTTGATTGGTAACGACAATTTGAACTAAACCTTCATTAGCTTTTGATAAAAAGTTTTAAGGTTGTTGTAAGAGTTGCAGAAGCTCTAAGCTACTTGTATAATTAATAGTTGCACAAGACATGTTATTCACAAACAATATAAGTCTTCAAATCTTCTTCTCAATGATTGTTTGAAATAACAATTACATTCTGTTGACTAATGATCACTGATAATTCCAATATTTCTTTTCTGAATAATAGATTAATGCAGATCTTTTTCCTATGTATATATCAAGTTAGCTGGCTTTGGACTATCTACGTGAGCATCAATGAATTTATTTTCCCAGGCACAGTGATATTGTTGGGAGTTTTAAGTATGTGGACATGGTTTGCTAGAATTTTTCTTGTAATTGTTTAGTCTAAATTCTAGAGAATCTCATTCTTATAGGCAATTTGCACTTGATTACTTTATTTATGGGAAATTAAGCAATAAGACAGATGTATATTTCATGGAGTTGCTTGACTTATTAACATTCAGGAAACGACTCTACAATAAGAACCCTTAAGCCCAAGAAAGTTTGGTTATGTGGGTTATTAAACCTATTAGTATATTAGGGTAAATATAATCATAAAAGAATGACCTATATGCCAAAACGACATAGTGACATAAGGAAAATAACTGACATGTGATTCTTAATGTTTCCATAAGTTTATTAAATTTCCAGCAACATTTAGCGTACTGATCATACTCTATATGTGTGCATGTATGTTTGCTTAGACCACACCAGTATTAGAGAGGATATTTAAAAGACTTATTGAGTCAATCTGGATGATAACTACGATGAAATTGATTTCTATGAATAGTCTTGCTTGGGTCTGTCTTTATCACAAGAGTAGAAGACTTAGACCTCAATTGAGGCAGGGTCAGAGATAGAAATCAATGAGCAAAAGAATTCATGTTTCTCTTAACATTTTTGCCTAATATATTTGTTTTTTCCTTATGTAACAGGTAGCTAGACAAAGGGGAAAAATGATTGAGTAATTCCAAGGCTGATAACTTCCATATTGAATTGGACTACCAGGATAAAGAAGATTATATATGAATCTCCAAGAATTGGATCACATTTAGGCTGGACATTGTTTGACGTAAAGTATGGCAGTGCATCTATAATTAACTTTGAACAAAATCAATAGTGATTGTACATTTGTTTGTTTATAACAAATAAGCTTTGTTACAAATGATCACACATAGTATAAGTACTGCTGAATGCTATTATCCCTTTGCACAATGTCAAATTTGCTTCCACAAAGTATGATTATCTGAAATTATTACATAGGAATTTGTTTTTCAATTATTAAAAGAGAGTTTGAATTCCTCCCTTTTCCCGCGTCACACGGGGGTTATTTGCTAGTTTCTTTATAATAGGATATTCAAGCTATTAGACAAGATATGTCAACATAGAATGTAGTAAAACGATGAAGAAGACACTCCACTATGTCAAGTTGGGAAGACTTTATGTTTTTTTTTTTTTTGGGGGGGTGGGGGCGCGGGGCTTTGGGGGTCTGCGTATAAGGGACAAAGTTACACAATTCAAAGAACACCCAGAAACGACATCATCATGATGCTTGCATCTCAATTATAGATGTAAAAAAATTTGACCAAATAAAATGCAAAATCAATATGTGACAGTTGGCATAAGGGATAATAAGGATTTCTTACTCTGCTCATCAGAGTACCCACAATCCCCCGATTTGGGATTTTCAGGCTCTGCCACTAACTGCCAGAACATCGCTATAATATCCAACCTCTCCGTCGCATTTCTAGCCAACCATTTAAGCACCTCACCTAAAATCGCACCAAAAAATCAAACAAATTACAAAGCCCTAGAAATCAAGAAAGCTCCTCTTTTTTCCTTTGTTTAATTTTAAAAGGATGGCGAGGTTACCGGAGGAGAGGACACCAGGGACGCGGGGGAGGATGTGCATGTCGGTGGGGATGACTGTACATGCCATGCTTTGTAGGAGGAGGCGATGGTCACCGGCGGTGACCAGACCGCGGAGAGAAGAATTAGGAGGATGAGGATCAAGGGTGGCTTCATCTCTGAGAGGGAACAAAGAGGTTGAGAATTTGGGTAAAATAGAAGAGAAGGCGTTGAGTGTGGTCACCGGCAGTGAGAGTGACGAGGCATGTACGGGGGCAGAGGACGGGAACAGTTTCCATTGACAGGTGAGATCGTAATATCCGCCGACCGATTGGTTTCTTTCGCAATTGGTAAAACATGAACGGGGGCGGAGGACGGGATTTTGTTATCTAGGGTTTATTAGTTTATTAGTTACGGTTAGATGGAGGTTTAAGTTTCCGGTTCTTTATATTATTTTGATTAATACTCCTGTTATGATTAGGAGTTATGATTAATGAAGGTAATAGACTCCTTCGCCTTTTAGGAGACCCAATAACAACGGTATTAGAACCAAATTAATGAGGGGATTAAAAAACCGTTATCCCATCTCACATCATTACTCTAATATTTGAAATAACTTAATGAAGGTTTTTAAAACCGTCGTTATTTTACACACATTAATGACGGTCAAATAGTCACTTCGCTAATTTTGGTCATTAAAGACCTGATTTCTTGTAGTTAATTTTCCCTCCTTTTAATTTTGTTTTTTTTTCTCCTCTTTGTTGAATAATGAGGATGGAGATGAAGAGCAATTTGAAGGTTTGCATTTTTTTCCGCTTTTATTTCTTTTTAGTAATTTCTTTATTATTGCTTATTAGTTAGATTTACATTCATGTTTGTAGTGTTGCTTATTAGTTAGATTTACATTCATGTTTGTAGTGTAGATTTATTTTCTTGTCTTTTTATTTCTTTTTGCACTTTAATTTGTCATTCATGTTTGTAGTGTAGATTTATTTTCTTGTCTTTTTATTTCTTTTTGCACTTTAATTTGTAGAGTAAATTTATTTTCTTGTAATTAATTTTTGTAATTTATTTTTGTAATTTATTTTTGTAGTTTAGATTTTTATTTTCTTTGTAAAGTAGATTTATTTTCTTGTAATTTATTTTTTTAGTTTAGATTTTTATTTTCTTTGTAAAGTAGATTTATTTTCTTGTAATTAATTTTTGTAATTTATTTTTTTTAGTTTATATTTTTATTTTTCTTTGTAGAGTAGATTTATTTTCTTGTAATTAATTTTTGCAATTTTTTTTTATTTTTATTTTTATTTTTTTTTCTTTGTAGATAGATTTAATTCTTGTTCATAGTTTAGAATTTTCTTTTCTTTTTATTTTTGTAATTAGTTCTTTTTCTTCTTGTTTTCTAAGATGTGAAATTAATTCTTGTAGGAATCTTAGAATTGTATGATGCTAGTCTAATTTCTTTTATATTATGCAAATTATTCTCTTTCAATGTTTATGTTTAGGATAATCAACTAGAAAACTAATCGGTAGAAGAAGAATTTGATAATCTATGCTTATCTTAAATGGTTTGATAGGTTATGCTTATGAATTCTAGGATTACTATCTTGTTGTCATTCCTATCATGAATAGTAATTTTAACTTAGATGATAATTTGATAGGTTATACTTTCCTTAAATGGTTTGATAGTCTATGCTTAATAAATCTAAGTTGAAATATGATAAAAAGAGAATAGTTTATATTTTGTAATTGAAATTGGGCTAGTGGATTAAATTCTAGATTTCTCATATCTAAATTGAATCATCCATCTTAACTTTTCTTTTCATTCTTGGTTTTATTTCTTGATTTTATTCATTCTTCTTTCTTGCCTTGTGAATTCATTTATTCTTTGATTCTTATTTCTTTTTCTCTAAAATTAAATTTATTATCTCTTGCATATATTCACAACAATCACTCATCACAACCACACTTATTCTTTAATCCTATTTTGTCACGCACACAACATAAGAACCTATTCTAATAATCTCTTGAAATCACCTTCCTCGTGGGATCGATAACTTTTTATACTATAACTTGATAAATTGTGCACTTGCAATTTTGGTACATAATATTGCCGAACCAAGTTTTTGGATTTTACTCAAAAAATTAAGCTATTTTTAAAAATATTAAATAATTTAAATTTTTGTTGTATTTATAAAGAGCCTTGATGGAGATGCTTTTGTTTTAGCAGCTTGCTCTGATTGAGCCATGCATATTAGCTTTAAAGTGTAATATTTTTTATTTATCGTGTTATATGGATGTTTGTTTGGTTTGCTTATCTATCTCTTATTTCTTCAATAAGTTAATATATTATTAACACAATTTACGATGAAATACATTGTTAGGAATCTTGACCCCAAGATTAGTTTGTTTTGATGATAATAAATATTATATGTTGTGTGTATTATGTGCTAACATTTGTTTTGCAGTATCAGAGCTATATCAACAATTATATTCAAAGAGATACTCAAGACATAGATGAGTTCAAGGCAAAATGAAGCAAAAAAGAAGATATACTTTATTGTCAAAATGTAATTTTATATTTTCTTTACTTAGAAATTTGTACAAGCCTTGATCACTCACACACATGCACACACATAGTGTTAGAACACACTAACACATGCTTAGTGTGCTGGTTAATAATAGAAATCCCTTATGTTAGCCATTAGAGTTTATAGATATTGAGTGAGTCTTAAAACATTTCATTTACACCCCTTATAAATTAGAATCTGAAAAAACTCAAAAGACCAAAGTTGTATGTCTCTTCAACAGCTTTCCAACAAATCTTAAATCACCTCATTCCGATGTCGGATGAGAAAGTTACAGCCAAAACACTGAAAAGAAAATTTTAGAATCTGTGAGTTTACAGTGTAGTCGACTACTATGCCTTGTAGTCGACTACTAAGCAATTTTCTGACTTCACAGAGTCTGTTTAGACTCAGTGTAGTCGACTACTATGACTTGTAGTCGACTACAGATGCAGTTTTTTCATATTTCAGGTTTTGAATAAGTGACTGTTTATAGCCGTTTTCTGTACGTTTTTAGGGGTTGAAAACTTATCTTTTCAAGGGCTATAAATAGGTTATAAGTTCAGAAATTTGTACAACTCATTCATACACACAAGATCAACATTTTGTGCATATTCACTCTCTAATTTTCCAGATTTTCATGCTAAGTGTTTAGAAAAAGAGAGTTTCTGATATTGCCTTGGTTTCAATCATTCTTAGAGATTGTATATGCAATATTCAGAGAGTTAAAAGAATCCTAAGTCACTGCAGCACTTCACTACACATTCAAGGCTTATAGGATCAATTGTATTCTTGCTTCAAAAAGGATTTTTCTCGGGTTTGAGAGGGTTGATCTCTTGGTTTAGAGATTGGATGGCAATCGGCATGATCTTGTCAATTGGTGTTGTAATTTGCAGGGACTTGCAAATTGGTCAGGTTTGTTTTTGATTTTATAAGTTTATTCAAAATCATAGTGGAAACTCTCAAGCGGGATTTGCTTGGGGACTGGATGTACACCGGGTTGGTGGAACCAGTATAAAACTTTGTGTTTGTGATTGTGAATTTCTGAGATTGACATTTTTCTTTGCAATTTATAATCTACTTTGCATATATTTTAAAAGAACACTATTCACCCCCCTTCTAGTGTTCTAGTGTATCTATTTCAGATCCTACATACATATCTTTCATACAAATTTGAAACATGTATAAGATGAATTTTATATTTAGTGGCCTTTAATAAGAATTTTAGTTGTAAAATATATTACCTTTATATTTAAAGATCTTGAAATCTGGCAGTAATATTACATGCTTATCTTTGATCGTGTTCTTAAAAATTGATCTTTCGTTAGTAGTCATATCCCCAAATAAGGATACTTGCAGAGTCGTGCCACTATATATATAGAGAAAAGAAAAATATCAATTTTAATTTTTTTTACTTACACTATTGTAACTAAGTATCATGTGCATATTTTTTGTCCATTATAGTGATTTTTCTCATCTTATCTAGTTTATTATATCTCGCAATGTAGTTGATCAATGGCTTCGTTTTAGTTTCTATTGCAAGATTATTTATTTAAAATTTTATATTAAGTTTATAAATCCTTCATTATTTTTAGAATAAAGTATGAAAATTTATAAGTACTTACTAATTTTTCTTGTACTTTTCATGAATAATATTTTTTTTTAATTAGGACATAATTGTTCAATATGTTCTTCAAGGAGAACTCGGTTAGTGCTTCTTTGCTGGATAAGCTTTTTATCAATGTCAATTCAGGTGATTCCTGAATGTTTCTGAATTTTGAGTTTATTTCCTTCACTTCTCCATTTGAAATGAAAACAACTTGGTTCTTTTAAAGGATATCTCTGAACTTTCTGATAGTTTCTCCATACATAACTCCTTGTATTTTTTTTACTTTATAAATAAATATTATCAACATTAGAGATAAATGTTTATATATTATAATCAATTAATGCTAACCTATTATATCTTAATGTAATAATATCAAACATTTCCTCTTTTCTTTGCCAAATTTCAGCATTTTTGTGATTTAAACTTTTGAGGTGTGTTTTGCAATTTTTAAACTTTGATAGTATTTTATGAAAATTTTAAATTTTAAGTTGGGCGCTTATAATTTTCATGTTTCATGTATTGGTGATAAGTTTTTAAATGTTAGAATATTTCTCGTAACTCTAAAAATTTGAAGGTATTTTTATAATTACTAAAATTTTGGGTTGTTTTTAAAAAATTTAAAATATTAGCAATCTGCTAATAATTTCTAAATTTGACGTGTACCAGTTTATAAGTTTTAAAATTTCAGAATTTTTTAATAAATTTTTACTTTTGAGAGAGTTTTTGTACCTTTGAGGTTATTTTTTTACTAATTTTAAATTTATATGTGTCTAATGTTAATCCCTGGAATCCATCTATGTTGTTTCTAGGTTTTGAAATCTCTGAATTTTAGAATGTTTTTTGTAATTTAAACATGGCTAAATGGCACTTATATACCCTATTGTTTTGATCTTGTAGTAGTTATATACCCTAAGTTACAAAACATAACAAAAAAATACCCTGAGTTGGTAACTGTTTAAATTTAGCTAACAGTGTTAAAAATACATAAAAGGACAATAACGCCCCTCCTTAAGAATTAACCTACCCCCAACATAATGAAAGCTCTTATTTTCTATTGTTGCCCATATTAAAGAGGAAGAAGAAGTTGGAGGCCACGAAAAGAAGATGATGATGATGAAAATAATCTAATTTGCAGGAGGTAATACAGTAAATAATACAATAAATGAGGGTAAGAATTATTCAAGTTGGTCATAGGTCCAGTATGTGGGAATATTCCAGAGAATATTCTCACAGATGATTAACAGAAGGTACCA